GGGCCCATACTACCTTCCACATCTATCCGTACTTTCCTCAAGAATTGCCTTGACTCCACCAAGTCCCTTTCACTACTACTGCTCCCAGCATTAATCTCATACTAGGCTTGCCCTAGGGTAATCCCTGACCCACTCTCCGCCATCAGCTGCATAAGAAGTCCCTGCTATCTCTCCCTAACTAGCTCGCGAATACCATTGCATATCACTAAGACCAAATAATTCTTTGAATGAGAGGTCTCTCCCTGCAATGGTTAGACTCAAACGAGAGCTGCGAAATAGGGCTAAACCTAACCTTCTGAAATTATTTAGTCCGCATAATATGTAACTTAACATATTCGTTTACTAGTTAGTTAAAGATAACTAAAACTCCTAAAAGCACAAAGCAAGCAACATTCGAGCATTGAGTATCTATAATCAAGCATATCCTACTCAGGCCATCATATTACTGACTAATCAGTACTAGCATACAGTTCAATAGGCTCATACAGCTGGCATATAAGGCATCATTCATAGATCCTTAGCCCTAAACTAGCATGCCGTTCTCATACACATATAACAGGCATACAAGGCATCATTCCTAGATCCTTAACCCTAATCTAGCATGTAGTTCTCATAATCATATCATAAGATAAACTTGTATGGGTAATTTGGGAGAACTTACTTGAGCTCGGCTGATTGCATGCACCACACCCTTTTCTCTTTTCAAAATGTCTTTTTGTAGAAATGGTTTTTCTTTTAAAAAATTTATACCAAGTCCTCAGTTTGAGTTCAGACAGAACCGAGAGTGTGCCCAAATACCTCACACCAAGGCTCTGATACCAACTTGAAACATCCCAAAAACACGGTCCAAAAATTTCGTTTAAACCATTAAATAAAACCATAATTATAAAAATCATTTCATCAAATCATAGTCAAAATATCTCAAAACATTATTCTCGGAGTATCAAAACATCAGAGTAAAACATCCCATGCTAAAACATCTTGGTCTGTGCAATGCAGTCATCCCGAGCTCTTCTCTCTGCAATTGCAACTACCTGAAACCAAAACTGCAAATCGTAAGCACGAAGCTTAGTGAGTTCCCTAACCTACCACATACTATACACATAATCGCATATACCGGGCCCCCGCCCCTACATTGGGACCCGCCTGGCATCAAGCCCCACTTGGTATACATATCTGTTTTTTTCTAGGCCCCGTCTGTCTCTGGGCCCCGTCCGCTATACACATACAAACAATATCATATAATCATACTAGCACATAAACGATCATACACAACACTACATGCTCCAGTTCTAAGGACTCGCCTATCATGGGCCCCGCCCCTTCTCCACTAATGATGAGATATGGAACCCCGTCCATACTTGGCTAGTGATGAGATACAGGACCCCGCCCACACTCACCTCCCTACCAGGCACATACGAGTATCACAAAGACAATAAGTATAACTAAACAAGCATACCCTCCTCGGGCACTGCCTGTACGCAGGGCATACTGGGCTCGTGACCTGTACGCTGCGCATACAAGCTTGTACGCCCAACATACACCCATGTTAAGCTCTTTTTGCTATTAAGCACTTAATGCTTCCAACTAATGGTCCAAATCACAGATCCTAGTTCCTCTAAGCGTCTAAATCCATAAAGTCATGGACTTGGTGACATTGCATGTCCCACATAAGCTCAAACTCCAAAAATGGTAATCTACTTCCATGAAAATGGTCTTAACTCTTGCATGAACCCATTAAGACATCAAAGATGACAAATTTCTGTCTTAGGGACCCATTTAGCACTGAGAGTGGCAACTCTAAGCCTAGGAATCGGATTTGAACCATAAAGCTCCATCCTTGGGACCAAAAAAGTCCAAAAACTCAACATAATAGATCTAAGCATTCAAGAGGCAAGTTCAAGACTTTGTACCTCAAAATGGTCTGAAATGAAGCAACAATCTCGGATCTACATCTTCTCCTTGGAACCACCACCTTGCTTTGCTCTTCACTTACTTGGAAAATAGATCAACAACACCAGGATGCACTCTAATGGCCTTCTAAGCTCCAAGAACACTCAAAGAAGGATTAGGGTTTCGTAGTGACTGTCTAAGGGTGAGAGGGAGGCTGATATCTAGGGCATTATGTTCTTTATATAGTGCTTAGCCCTATAATTAGGGTTTTGGTCTGAAGGGAGTATGCCCCGCGTACCTCTTTGTACGCCCGACGTACTCACAAACCACCCGCGACACCTTTATCCTTTACACCTTTATCTTTATATAGTGCTTAGCCCTATAATTAGCTTATGCTAGGCGTTCCCAGCCAGACACATGCATGCATTTCCTAGCATGCATGGGACTTATCCGTCAAACTTCTCCATTAGGGGCTAATTCTGCCAAAACCTTTAAAATGCAAATAACTTCTTCGTTCTAAGTCCGTTTCCGACGAAGTTTATATCCACGAAAAGGTGGGGAGACGCCCTACACTCCTAGCTACACCCCCAAGCCTACCGCCCGAATAAAAACCAAGACCCATAAAAGACCAAATCGTCAGATTTCGCTTGTACCCTTGGCCTCCGAAGACACAATCAAACACTTTCAAAATCGGATGTTACAACTCTCCCGCACTTAAATTAGATTTCGTCCTTGAAAACTCTCCTTTTTACACCCGTATACAACAATGGATCTTAGGAACGCAACCACTAATTCTGCACGTGAAACAATCTCTGCGACACATCAGAAAACCAACCGAACTTCCTTCCCGAAGAAAACCAACCCTAGCCTCCGGAAGAAGTCACTTTTACCTTGCTAAAACCGGGAATCCACATTGGTCTGACTTCCTGACAGACCACCTGCTCTAAGCTTGCCATGCTTAATCTTCCTCGAATGACCCACCAAATGGACACTTCCAATCCTGATTATCTGAATGCTCCAACTGAAGCAAAATCCCTTTCTATAACCAGCTATATAATACTTATACTTGGCAGAAGGCTCAGATAATCCTTCGAGTAGAAGACTCATCCCTGAGACGGTTAGACTCACACAAGAGTTGTGCAACAGGGTGAAATCCATTACTCTGAGATTATTCAATCCAACTGTAAGTGACTTAGCACCTTCGATCGACGAGGTACTCCCCACACAAGAACCCTCACATCACTACTTCTGCCCGAACATCATGTTGTCTCTTGCCCACTTTCCGAACAAACCGTGGCCACCATGGTCCAAATCTATGTGCCGTTATCTGGAGTACCAAATTATCAAATCATTTCATCAAAGCATAGTCAAAATATCTCAGAACATTATTATCAGAGTATCAAAACATCAGAGTCAAACATCCTAGCCTAAAACATCTTGGCGTGTGCAATGCAGTCATCCTGAGCTCTTCTCTCTGCAACTGGAAGTACCTGAAACCAAAATTGAAAACCTTAAGCACGAAGCTTAGTGAGTTACCCAACCTACAACATACCGTACACATAATCGCATATCCTGGGCCCCGCCTGGCATCGAGCCCCGCTCGGTATACAGATCTGTTTCTTCCAAGCCCCGCCTGTCTCTGGGCCCCGCCCGCTATACACATAAAAACCATATCATATAATCATACTAGCACATAAAGGAACATACACAATACTACATGCTCCAGTTCTAAGGCCTCGCCTATCATGGGCCCCGCCCCTACTCCGCTAATGATGAGATATGGAACCCCGTCCACACTCGACTAGTGATGAGATACGGGACCCTGCCCACACTCACCTCCCTTCCAGGCACATACGAGTATCATAAAGACAACAAGTATAACTAAACATGCATACCTTCCTCGGGCACTGCCGGACATCAGACCGTAGTCCAGAAACATACATATAAACATTCCTCGGGCACCCCGCTCGGCATCGAAATGAGGTCCAACAACATTCCTCAGGCTTGCCCCGATATCGGACCGAAGTTTGGAAACATACAAAACAAGCACATGCAAGAATCACAAAGACATCAAGCATACAAACATTCCTCGGGCTTTCCCCGGAATCGGACCGTAGTCCGGAACACATAATCATACATGCATACATATACGGGCCGACGTTGGTGCCTTAGACCCGTTCACACAAAGGGAAACTCACCTCGCAAGGCTGAATCTCGTGGATAATCCCCTGGCTCCTAGCTGACAAATCCCCAAACTGCTGATCCTTCGGCTCCCCGAGCTGCTAGTCATCATATAAGCTAATTAAGTTTGGGATTCTCATAACTTAACCATAAGTCCTCACTGGGGTAAAAGACCATTCTACCCCTCATATACTCGTGTCCAAAGATAGACTCTACTCAACCCTTGGCCCAAAAAGGTAACACTCTTACAAGGCCCAATATATGGCCCAATTTCCAATTGGGTCCAATCCCTTCACATGGGTCTTAGCCAAAGGCCCACTAATGCTTCTCTAGTCCAAATGTTCATTTCCATATGGCCCACTAAAGCCCAAAGTAACAAAGTCGAATGAATGGCCTAAACCGAGGCCCACTTGAGCGAAACCCACTCTGATTGAGTACGCGGGATGTACTCCGCTGTACGCTGGGCATACTGGGCCCGAGACCTGTACGCTGCGCGTACCAGCTTGTACGCCTAATGTACTCCCCTGTTAAGCTCATTTTTCTATTAAGCACTTAATGCTTCCAACATATTAGCAGGCCTATTCCATCTTAGTGTCTGCCCGCCCCA